GGGGGGGGGACCGGCGGGAAGGCGGAGCCGTGGATGGAGGGCGGGGGGAGGCCGGGCCAAGATGGCGGCGCCCTGTGGGCCAGCGGGGCTGAGGCGGTAAACAGCCGCGGGGCGGAGAAGGCGGGTGAGCACTGCTGGGGCCGGCCGGGGCTGGGGGTGAGCACCGCGGGCCCTCCTCGGGGGACACCCCGGCGTGAACTTCCCCTCCGCCTCGCGCGGGGCCTGCTCGCGGCCTCCCCCCGGGCTGGGGGGCGCCCGTGGGTTTTTGGGGGATGGGCAGGCCCGACCGCCCCGATCCTTCTTCCGCGCGGGGAGCAGCGTTTCTCGGCCCGCGGGCCGCTGGGATCGGGGCAAGGGTCGCGGGGAGACTTGGAAAATCAACCCCCCGAAAACTTTAAACGTGGATAAAGGATAAAAACGGGGGCGGTTCCCGTGTGGGTTGGCCCCTGCCCCATGCCCACCCTCTGCTCTGCACACGGCGGGTGGGGGGCGCTGGGTCGGGCTGGTACAAAAAAGGTTGGGATGGAGGAGCCCCACCTCCAGCCAGATGCAGCCCAGGGGGCCGTGGTGTCAAACCCCCCGGGGTCCCCACTAGCCGGGAAAATGCGTCGGCGACAACCCCCCCGCCCAAATCCCTCCTGATCGGGGCCATGTGGCCTCATCTGGCCCCATTACGCGTGCCCTGTTGGGTCTGCGCGCTGCCCATGGGGCCCGCGGGGCCACTGATCTCGAGGGTTGACGCCGCTGTGGCGAAGTCAGCACTTGGCAGTCAAGCGAGAGCCGCGCTGTGACTGCGACGATCCGCACGTGATGCGAGAGGCGAGGGCCTTTTAGGGCGATCGCTTGTCTTGGGCCAGCTGTCTAGTTGGGATAGAGTTAGACCAGCTTCTGCATACAAGACATTTTTTCCTCCGGTCTCCGCATCAGGGACTTGGAAGAATGGCTCGCATTGGAAAGCTTGCCTAATTTTATCCCGACTGTGTAAATGTTGCCCTAAGGAATTCAGTTGATGCAGATAGGTCGCTGGCCACTGGGTTTGGGTGTTTTTTTGGTTGGTCTTTAGGGGTTTTGCTGCATGTTGGTTGTGTGCGAACACAAAGCTTGATAGCGCTACAAGCTTAGTAGGGCAGTGTTTAAATGGGAACTAAAGCAATTGACTAGACACTCTCCTTTGTTCTGTAAATTACGTTCTAGCTAGTTTTAGCAGAACCTGCTTTCCAAATGAGGTAGTCTGAGCTGCTGAAGTTCTGACTTAAATGTGATCCGAACATTTCATAAGTCATAAGATTCACTGAAGTTCAAGTGATCTTTTCTTTTTAACCTCCTATCAGCTTTCTAACACGTTATTCAGCACTTCAAGCTTATACAGGTTCATATAAATAAAATACCACCAGGGCTCTCATCTGAGGTGCATTGTTCCATTAGAGATGCTCCGGCTTTGTAAACAACCATTTGACTTCAATAATGGCTTCTGGATTAAAACAAAGACAGGAACAATGTAGAGCTGAAATGCAAGGGTGCTGATTTGTATCAAAGCCTAGTTTGCTTAAACGAGAAAAAAAAATGTTTACATCATTTTTGCTAGTGGAAGACCTGGTCACCGAAATCAATCTTTATAAGTGAATAGTCTGTTATGCAAAACAGTAACCCTGCCTTCG